TTAAATTATTTAAATTACAGAAAATTAAACTAAAAATTCAGCCCCCTGGTCGTACTAGTCACATTTGAAGTGCTCAGTAGCTACATGGGGCTGATTTCCTGGACAAAATCTCTAGAGAGTCCTCCAATTCTTTGCACAAAGTCCTGTTGGGTGGCACTGTCACATGAGAGGCACAGAGTCAATGTCACTGTCTTCTAAGTAGGAAGGAAGGGAGGGGGAAAAATACACCTTCATCTGAGCAATGATGTACCCAAGAAACGATTTTGAAAAAATAATGATGGAAACTCTCCTGACCTAAACTTCATTCCCAGATTTCCTCATTTTTATCACATTTATGCCAAAATTTCATCCTAAATCTGAAAACACACACACTCTGTAAAAATGGGATTGGGTGACTGATAATGGTTTGGCTGTGTCCCACCCAAATCTCAACTGCAATTGTAATCCACATTACAATCACTACATGTTGGGGAGGGACCTGGAAGGAAGTGACTGGATTATGGGGGTGGTTCCCTCATGCTATTCTCGTGATAGTGAGTTCTCAGGAGACCTGATTGTTTTCTAAGTGGTGGTTCCCCCACCCCCTCCATCTCACCTGCCGCCATGTAAGGTGTGCCTGCTTCCCTTCCGCCATGATCCTGTTTTCTGAGGTTTCACTGACCATGTGGAACTGTGAGTCAATTAAACCCCTTTTCTTTATAAATTTCCCAGTCTTGGGCAGTTCTTTATACCAGTGAGAGACCAGACTAACACAGTGAGCTAAACATCCACCCTGACTCCAAATCTGTTCTTTTATGCCAGTGAGAGACCAGACTAACACAGTGAGTTAAACATCCACCCTGACTCCAAATCTGTTCCTTCCATACAGATTAGCACGGCACACAGTGCTGGTACGAAACTGGTCATCCTAACAAGCTTTCCTAAACACTACTTTCCAGGACCTATTTATGTATTGTCATATTTAATTCTCATAATAACCACCGGAATCCCCATTTTACAGATGAGAAAACTGAGCAACAGGAGATCAGAGTTGACCCAAGTAACACAGTAATCAAGCGTCAGAGGCTGGACTCCAGGCAGGGAGGCCTTGCCTGAGATACCAAGGTCCCATCCCAACCACTGTGCCTACTGCCCAGTAAGAGCCAAGCCAATGTAGCCTGTGCTGCTGCTCACCTGCAGTCCTTAGACACAAAAGTAGTTTCTAGGGAAGGCCTGGAAAACGTCCTCTGAGAGTGCAGAATCATTTCTTTCACCCAAGCTGTGCATTCCTTCTCTCCCTTCTACTTCCCAGTATCTTGTAAGTTTGGAAGTGGGATTAAGGGTTTCTGAACTAGCCGTGGTGTTAAACTCCTGTAGGTTTAAGAACACACAGCTGCACCCTACAGAGAAAAATACACGAGGAAACTCACAAGTGCCAGTCATCACATGGTCTCACGTTCAGAGTAGTGATGGCCACTGACTGACCTTGTCTTTGAAGGATTCCAGCCCTTGCAGACGCTCATGATATACTATTGACCAATGTCCAATAAGCAAGGGTAAAAGGGAGCATCACATCCACTCATGGATTCGGTAGAAAGTAGTCAATCAGGCCGGGCGCGGTGGCTCAAGCCTGTAATCCCAGCACTTTGGGAGGCCAAGGCGGGTGGATCACGAGGTCAAGAGATGGAGACCATCCTGGTCAACACGGTGAAACCACGTCTCTACTAAAAACACAAAAAATTAGCTGGGCATGGTGGCGCATGCCTATAATCCCAGCTACTCAGGAGGCTGAGGCAGGAGAATTGCCTGAACCCAGGAGGCGGAGGTTGCGGTGAGCCGAGATCGTGCCATTGCACTCCAGCCTAGGTAACAAGGGCGAAACTCCATCTCAAAAAAAAAAAAAAAAAAAAATAGTCAATCAAACGCCGGCGCTCCATTGGCTAAAAGATAAATGAAATCACTAGGGTAATGAAGCTAATGATTATTATAATAACACCCTCGATTTAATGGACACCTACCCCCTATATGTAGCAGTGCTTGTACCATCTCACTAAGTCCAATCTGTAAGAAAGACATTTTCACCCTCATTGGAGCAGGGTGGAGTCACGGGGAGAGGCGGGGGTTAAACGCCATGCCCTCCAAGGTTGTAGATGAGCTGAGCAGTTTCAAATTCCATATTCTCCCTTGACACCCCACCCTCCCCCTCGAGGGTGCTGCAGTGACTTCTCTGTTTCAACAAGAGATGAGGAATGAGTCTGAGTATCTCAGTTCCTGGAGCAGACGAGCCACAAAAGAACATCACTTTAGGGTAAAAGTCAGGCCCAGTTTTACTCATCGAAAACCTGCCCCAAACTACATGGTGCGGGGTGGACAGAGGATGACACACTGCGATTCTCAAAGGCGTTGCTGTGAACAGTCAAAACACTCATGCATTTCAGACCCACAAGATATTTTGGTTTTGTGATATTATTGGCAAGGGCTGAATATAGTCCTGATAATTTCTCAGTTCAATGAACAGGCAGAAGAGAGGAGAGGAGCCAAGGAGGCAAAAGGAACTAAGGTATTTCAGGAAACAGATACTTCTAAAAATACAGTCCCATGTGATGGAGTGAGTTGGTGACTGCATCACCCTTCTTCCTCCAAGCCTGAGATGGCTCCCGAACCTCAGGAGTGAGGGCTGCGATGTCTCTTGCCATCTGCCCAGTTTACCTACCTTTCTAGTTCTACCTGCATCTCTTCTTCCAGCACATGCCGTATATCAGCCACAGGGGACCCCACGCTGTCCATGAATGCTACAGAGAAGAGTGATGTTCCATTTGCCTTAGTCATCTGCGGTAAATATCTGCTCAATGAGGAGATGGATTTGCTGAATGTGCATGTGATAGGAAGCACAGTGTCTCCTGGGACTACTCAGTCCAGAACAATGCCATGTACCAGGAATTGCCTTTTGCTTTTTTATGTGCACATGTGTGTGTGCACACGTGTGCGCCCTCGTGGACATGTACAGGCGTGCGTGTACACACACACACACAAACGGGTCTTTCAAGGAACTGCCCGAAGAACCAACATGACACACACCAACATGGATTCCAACATCCGTCATCATTCAAAACTATTGTTTAACTAAAATCTCCAGCCCTTCTTTCAGAAGGACCTGGAAGGGCTTCTTTCAAGGGACAGGAAAAAATTAAGTCGATGTGTGTGTGGATGCCAACATATCCATGTGCATCTTGAAATATTCTGAAAGAATCTCATTTCAACCACATGCTTCTAGAGTCATATTTTCAAATTCCTTGAAGGGCCTGGGGAAACTGTGTTAAATTCCAATTCTGGATCTCCCATAAAAGTAGGCAAATGATGCCAGCAAAGGTTGAAGACAATCATGGTTTTGCAGCCAAGCTCTCTGTTCAGAATTCACATGCAAAGGACCGCCTGATCCCAATTAGCTCAAACTTGTTTTTGCTTTTCTCTGTTTGTCGCCTCCTGCCCACCTTCCAGGGACTCCTCGTTTTGGGTTATTTGTTCAGACTTCAACTCCAGACACACCACTGTGATTTCCTTTTTAATAAACACTATCCAGTGAGTAGCGGAAACCAATGAGAAGCACCTGCACTCTATTATAACTTCTCATTCCGCCCACGAGTGCCGAGCTGTGAATAAGTGAGAGCCCCACTAGTCTAAGAATAGTAACAGCGTTTTCCCATCAACAGAGCATCATCCAACTTCAGCTAACACGACGGACAAAGTACCCTGCTGCCCCATTGTTTCAAATGTGGGAGGAAGGACCCGAGGAGAGCCAAATGTCTGCTGTCTGCAGCCATGACTTAGGCACGGGTGGGCCGGGGGATGGTCCATTCCATGCTAGGAAACAGCAGAACATCCCTGAAATCTTAGGGATAGGGACAGTCCAGGAGCCAGAGTCAGAAGTTGTATTGGAAGGAACACGGGGGGTGGAGTCAGAAAACCCACACTCAGGCTCCATTTTATTAATAGAACAAGTATATGCTAAGTGTCCAAAAAATGTGTAGGCACTGTTCTAGAAGCTTAGGATACTAACAAAATCATCAAAGGCCCCTGCCCTCATGACACTTACAATCTAGCCACTCACTAGAGAGTGAGCAAGTTACCTAATTTCTTTTCTCTCTCTCTCTCTCTCCCCACCCCCCTTTTCTTTCTTTCAAGACAAGGTCTCTGTCTGATGCCCAGGCTGGAGTGTAGTGGCTTAATGATAGCCCTCTGAAGCCTCAACCTTCTGGACACAAGCAATCCTCCCGCCTCTCCCTACAGAGTAATTGGGACTAGAGGCATGTACCACTGCACCCAGTTAATTTTTTTGATTTTGATTTTTAGTAGAGACACAGCCATGTTATGTTGTCCAGGCTGGTCTCAAACTCCTGAGCTCAGGCAATCCTCCTGCCCAAGCCCCGCACAGCACTGAGATTACACGTGTGAGCCACTGTGTCTGGCCAAGTTACCTTATTTCTTTGGGCCTCTGTTCCCCTCCTGTGGAATGAGCTAAAACTATGCCTATGCCCCAGAATCTTGGAGCCTGGAATTAGCTAGTAGTAGCCATGCTGGTAATAACAATTCCCACTTTTTTGTTTGTCTATTTAACTTATTCCAAAGTATTTGTTATCTACAAAGGGAAGGATAACCCCACAGTGGAGAACCCAGAAGACGTCACATGAGCCAAGTGATCAAGATGGACATTTTCAGTAAGAATTACATGCCTATTGGAATCAACCTCAATGTCCACCAATGACAGATTAGATTTAAAAAAAAAAAAGGTCCATATACACAATGGAATACTATGCAGCCATAAAAAAGAATGTGATCATACCTTTTGCAAGAACATGGATGGAGCCGGAAGCCATTATCCTTAGCAAACTAACGCAGAAGGAGAAAATCAAATACTGCATGTTCTTACTTATAAGTGGAAGCTAAACAATGAGAACTCAGGGACACAAAGAAAGGAACAACAGACACCAGGGCCTGTCTGAGGGTGGAGGATGAGAGGAAAGTAAGGTTCAGAAAAATAACCATTGGGTATAGGCTTAGTACCTGGGTGATGAAACAATCTGTTTAACAAACCCTTGTGACATGAGGTTACCTATATGAGGTTACCTATACAACATACCTACATGAGGTTACCTATACAACACACCTACATGAGGTTACCTATATAACAAACCTGCCCATGTACGCCTGAACCCAAAATAAAAGTTAAAAAATAAGGAATCACACATCCAATTCGCATTTCCAGTAAGAACATACATGTACACTCATAATCCCTTGGTAAGATGCAATGAGAAGGAAATATCATTTTTGTACTATTCTTTTTAAAAAATGATTTAATTTTGGTAAAAATATATACAACATAAAATTTGTCACTTTAAATTTTTTTTTTTTTTTTTTTTTGAAATGGAGTCTCACTCTTTCACCCAGGCTGGAGTGCAGTAGCACGATCTCAGCTCATTGCAACCTCCGCCTCCTAGGCTCAAGTGATTCTCCTGCCTCAGCCTCCCAAGTAGCTGCGATTACAGGTGCATGCTGCCACGCCTGGCCAATTTTTCTATTTTTAGTAGAGATCGGTTTTACCATGTTGGCTAGGCTGGTCTCGAACTCCTGACCTCAAGTGATCCACCCGTCTCAGCTTCCCAAAGTACTGGGATTACAGGCGTGAGTCACTGCACACAGCTCATTTTAAGCATTTTTAAGGATACAATTCTGTAGAATTAATAACACCCATGATGTTGGTCAGCTACCACTTCAATTTTCAAAACTGTTTCATCACCTTAATAATAACCACCTTTGAACATGTATTTAGGTTGGATGTGCATGTTTTCAACCTCAGCGGAAGCTTGGGGTTGGATCACTGTGGGAGCTTCCTAACTGGAACCCCTGTTTCAGTCGTCACCACCTGTCCCCTGCCAATCTACTCAACACAGCAGCCAGAGTGATCCTTTTAAAGGACGAGTCTGCTCTGGTCAGTTCTCCATCTCTTAGCATGTATACTCTGGCCAAAAGCTAATTCTCTTTCCTTCATCTACACCCACTGTGTTGCAGCTAGCTTCCTTGCACGCCACGCTGGCTCTGACCTCAGGACCTTTGCACGTGCAGTTCCTTCTGCCTAGAATGGTCTGCCTCCAACATCCCTTCCTTCATGTCTCTGCTCCAAATGTCACCTTTTCCGAGAAGTCTTCCTCGTACAAGCTGTATCAAACAGCACACCTAATACTTCCTATGCTCCTCACTGCTTATTTTCCCATAGCCCTGATTAGCATCTGTGCCAAACGTCCTCAGATGACGTCTCAGCACCAAGACCAGCTAGCATCGCTTTGCTTGGGACCAAGGAGAGTTTCCCCTTTGCGAGAGTGTGTCATGTTCAGCTTCGCCAGTAGAGGGCGCTGCAAGGACACTGGCGCAGTCGGGTTCTGGGGCGATGCTTCCAGAAGGGCATCTCCCTGTGGGCGGCTCACTCCGCACCCCAGAGTGGGGCAGGTTCCCTGCACTCCACCCTGCAGGCTGATTTCCGAGATTTCCATGGGAAACACCTCCCATGGACTTCCTTCCCTGGCACCCCAAAGAGGGGCTTCCCAGGGAGTCCCACCTTCATGCGGGTTTTAGCGAGAACCTTTCTGCCATCCAATGGGCCATGGACCGGTCCAGATCTGTATTTCTAGATTCCTTCAAGCTTACCTTTTTTTTTTTTTTTTTTTTTTTTTTTTTTTTTGCTCTGTCATCCAGCCAGGAGTATAGCTCACTGCCACCTCCGTCTCCTGCGTTCAAGCGATTCCCCTGCCTCAGTCTCCCAAGTAGGTGAAACTACAGGCCACCACGCCTGGCTAAATTTTGTGTTTTTAGTAGAGACAGGGTTTCACCAGTGTTGGCCAAGTTGGTCTCAAACTCCTGACCTCAAGTGACGGTCCCGCCTTGGACTCCCAAAGTGCTGGGATTAGAGGCGTGAGCCATCATGCGCAGGCTACTCCTTTTTATTTATTTCACTTACTGTTTAGAGACAGGGTCTCACTCTGTCACCCAGGCTGTGGTATGGAGGTGAGATTATAGCTCACTGCAGCCTTAGCCTCCTGGGCTCAACAAATCCTCCTGCCTCAGCCTGCCAAGTAGCTGAGACCCCGACCCCACAACCTCCATCATTCTCACCCAGCTACTTTTCACTTTATTTTATTTTCTTGGAGAGACAGGGCCTCCCTACGTTGCCCAAGCTGACCTCGAACTCCTGGACTCAAGCCATCCCTCCACCTTGGGCTCCCAAAGTGCCGGGATTACTGACAGGCGTAAGCCACTGCGCTCTGCCTGATCCTTTACCCTTTGACCGCCGATACCCTGTGGTAGCTAACAATTCTTAATACTAAATATTCCCTGTTAAAATTATTTAGTTCCTGTCTCCTAACTGGATCCTGACTGATGGAGTAACAGATATGGTAGAACTAACTAACTAACTAAATAAATAAACGTGGGAGGTGGGTGGGAGGGGTTATATTTGTTAATTACCCATTTTATCTCCATCTGTCACAGAATGCAAGCGAGGACTTTGCTTTGTTTACCACAATGTCCCCAGCGGCTACAACATATGCTTGACGTGTTATAAGCACTGGATAGGAAGGAAGGAGGGGAAGCAGGGGACCGAGGAAGCCACTTTGTGAAAAAGAGAAAGGATGGATGGATGAATGGATGGAGGGACAGGTAGCATTACACAGGCTGTAACAGCACCTGGTATGTAGTAAGCACTCATGAAACACTCACCCATGAATCTCTTTGCAGCCCTTACATGATTTCCATTTAACCTTTCCACCCTTCCACCGATTATTTGGAATACCAAAATACCTCACTATAACATGCCAGAGCCTTAAAAAGACGGCCTTGTGGCCCCTGCACTTCCCGCCCCATGACTCTCTTGAAGAAAAATAACAACAAAATGAACAGAGGCTGAAAAAGGAAAGCATCTCTGAACCAAAACTTCTGGTGCTTGTTTTTAGTCTGATGATCAAAACAGAATGGAAACCGTCTGCCTCACCTACACCGTGACTCAGCGACAGTTTCCTGCTTACAAACAACGGCCGTGGCAGGTCCCACTCTCCTTTCTCTTTGATTGGAAAGCCCTTCAGGGTCAGTACCTCATTTCTGGTGTGAATATTCACTTTCTCATTCTACCAAAAGACCCACCAGCAAGCTGTGAAATGAGCATTTCACAAAAGCATAAAACACTCCTGATAATTAAAATGCTTGGCAATTAGAGTGACAAACTACACTCCAATCTACAGAGTTAATTTCACAACCTCTACAAATTATAAAGGAAACTATTTGGAAATTAAGAAGCTCTAAAGGATTTTTTTTTTTTTTTGAGATAAAGTCTCACTCTGTCGTTCAGGCTGGAGTACAGTGGCACAGTCTCCATCCACTGCAACCTCCACCTCCCAAGTTAAAGTGATTCTCCTGTCTCAGCCTCCTGAGTAGCTGGGATTACAGGTGTGCGCCACCACACCTGGCTAATTTTTGTATTTAGGGATGGGGTTTCACCATGTTGGCCAGGCTGCTCTTGAACTCCTGACCTCAGATGATCTGCCCACCTTGGCTTCCCAAAGCACTGCAATTTCAGGTGTGAGCCACTGCACCCAGCTGGGATTTTTTTTTTTTTTTTTAAACTCATCGATCACTTTTTGGCTTGCTTGAAATTGTACTCTCTTTCAATTTTTTTCTACTGTGCTTAGTTGCTTTGGAATCATACTGGCCGTATTTCTTTGCTTTTAAATGACCACCCCAACCCCCGCAAAAAAGTGACAAAATCTCAAATTCTACAATTTTCCAGTAAAACACATTACAAGAATATAATACAGCTAATGAAAGGGTACAGGGTATGTAATACCAACCTCCTCAATGTAAATAACAACTGCCTTTCAATTATTGTTTTCTTTTTACCTCACATTCTAAACAGTACTAGAAGACATGAGCACAGTCAAAACTCATGTGCTGGAAGATAATCATTAGCCAAAAGAAGGCAAAAATAGAACCAAAAAAGACATCTGAGTATCATAAATGGTTGTGACTTTCTCCAAAGGAGACACACAAATGGCCAGTAGGCATGAGAAGGTATGCTTAACGTCTTCGTTGGGGAAATGTGAATAAAAATTACAGAGACAGAACACGTCACACCTATTCTCATGGCTGTTTGTTTGCCTATTTTTTTGAGATAGAGTTTCACTCTTTGTTCCCCAGGCTGGAGTGCAGTGGCACAATCTCGGCTCACTGCAACCTCCACCTCCTGGGTTCAAGCGATTCTCCTGTCTCTGCCTCCTGAGTAGCTGGGATTACAGGCACCTGCCACCATGCTCAGCTAATTTGTGTGTGTGTGTCTTTGTGTTTTTAGTAGAGATAGGATTTCACCATGCTGGCCAGGATGGTCTCGATCTCTGGACCTTGTGATCCACCCACCTCGGCCTTCCAAAGTGCTGGGATTACAGGCGTGAACCACCATGCCCAGCCTCAGATGGCTATTTTTTTTTTTTTAAGTAAAATAAGTATTGGGTAGAATGTGGAGAAACCGGAATCCTCGTCCACTGCTGGTGTGAATGTAAAATCAAGGCGATTTGACAGTTTCTCAAAAGGTTAAGCATACAGCTACAAAATGACCTAGCAATTTCACTCCTAGGTCTATATCCAAAAGAACTGAAAGCAGAGATTTGAATAGATATTTGTAACATGTTCATAGGACTATTATTCATACACATGCGCGCACACACACAGAGACACCTCACACAGAAATATTACTCAGCTGTAAGAAAGAAATTTTGCACCAGGTGTGGTGGTGTAGTAATCTGAGCACTTTGGGAAGCCCGGGCGGGTGGGTCACCAGAGCACAGGAGCTCAACAACAGCCTGGGCATCATGGCAAAACCCTGTCTCTACTAAAAATCCAAAAACATACACAGCAAAATACAAATAGCCAGGCATGGCAGCATGCATCTCTAGCTACTTAGGAGGCTGAACTGGGAGGATCGCTGAAGCCCAGGAAGTCAAGGCTACAGGGAGCCATTATTGTGCCACTGCATTCCAGCCTGGGTGACAGAGAGACCCCCTGTCAAAAGCCAATGAGGGGAGGGGAGGGAAGAGGAGGGGGAGAGGAAGTAAGGAGAGGAAGAAAGAAAGAAATTTTGATACAGCTAGTGCTCGACTTATGACCACGATTGGTTCC